CTTTATGCCCAAATCTCCTCTTGCTCACAACAATCTTCTAGTGAAACCTACTAGGCTCTGCTTCAGGGTACAATCAAGGACAGGTTCACTAGCCCCGTAGCACATTCCCACCTGCCTTCTGCACCCACCCCATGTCCCCTCTCGGGAATAACTGGCCCTAGGGGAGGCACGAGGCGGGATGTTCAACCTCCCTCCCCACGCTGGGGATCCCCTGGTCAGGCTCCTCTCCTGACACAGCTCCGTTTTCCAGGATTCCCCAAAGATGACCGTCCATGACCACTCAGTGCCCTGGGGTGAAATGCATCTGGCCCAGGTTGAAACACGGCCATCTCCATCCTGGATGGTCAGCAGGCCACGAGGCGTCTCCAAGAGCAGTCAGCACCCCACTGTTCTTCCATGGGGCAGCGAGTACTGATCCAACCCTGGGAACCTTGGGGAGGTCATTTTCAAATCTTAGGGCCCGTGTGTGTTCTTAGAAAAGAAGCCCTGCAACTTTGGCAAGGAAAAAACAGTGCAGCCCTAGCATGTTGGCTGGCACATAGTAGGTGCTCTGGAGTTACTTGTTATTAGGATGGATAGACAGACAAACCCTCTCCCAAAGCCCACTAGCTAACAGAAAAGCTAGCTATTTAGAAAGAGGGACAGGGGAAGCCCAGCACCTGGTAACACAAGGTTCTTACATCAGGAGCAGGCTCTGGGGTACCTGGGAGGAAGCAGACCAGGGTGTGCTCTGATCCAGCCCCTGCCATGCTAGCTGTGTGACCATGGAGAAGACACCCACCTCTCCTGAACCCTAGTTTGCTCCACTGTACAATATGCTCTTCCTGCCTGCCCAGGATGGGCTCAGGCCTGCCAGGTCTCCAGTGACCTCATGTCATGGGAAGGACTTTGAAAACTGCAGGTGCTACGCAAATGACAAGTGACGTTTGTCATTATTAGTGGTTAGGAGGGTGGACCCTGGTGGCAGACTGCTGAGTGGAAATCCCACTCTCCCTCTTAATAGGTCTGCAGACTTTAGCCTCCACTCCTCATCCCAGATATCGGGGATAAAGCACAGAGCCCCTCCTTTGTACCATTGTGAAGATTAAGAAAGTTTATTTTGAAAAACTTGCGACAAAGGTCCACAAAAGGGTTAGCATTTCACCGTTGTTGTAATAAAAGACCCCCTCACATATGGGGAGCGTTCCAAGATCCCTAGTGAATGCCTGAAGCCATGAATGGTACTGAATCCTACATATACATGAAGAACTTTTACCTTTTTGCTTAAAGGACTCACTTTATGGTTGGTCTTTTGTATGTTCAAATGATCAGCATCTACTTTTGGGCTTTGGGCCCATTATGGAGGGGAAAAAAGGGCCACTGAGCACAGCACTGCAATATCATGATGGTTGATCTGATAACTAAGATGGCTACTAAGTAACTAACGGGCAGGTAGCTTATACAGTGTGGATACACTGGACATAAGGATGACTAGTGTCCCTGGTAGGGCAGAGCCAAATATCAAGTGATTGTACCATGCCACTTAGAAGAGCACCCAATTTAAAATGTGAAAATTGTTTGTTTCTGGAATTTTCCATTCAATAGTTTTGGTCCTCAGTTGAGTTTGGGTAACTGAAACCAAGGAGCATGAAACCTTGGATAAGGGGAGGCCCTGCTCTATGACTGTGTGGGTAAAACCAGTCTGACAGTCCCCATCCCCCATCCCCCTCTTCCCCCTCCCACTCCCCATCCCTACCTCCAAGTCATTCCACAAGGACATCCTACACCCCTGCCATGGGCTGGCCTGTCCAAGGGAAGCAGCCTGCACACTGTTGCCCCCCTCGCCCAGGTCTCCTGGGGGCCAGGCTGCCAGGGCAGAAGGTCCTGGCATCTGTCGACCTTGGTGGCCACTCCATTGGCTAATGCCATGGGGAAATTCCTCCGACTCTTACTTTCCAGAACTTGAGAAAAGCTGTTTCAGCTCTTTCCAAGGATCAGGAGTGTCCATGGCAAACAAGCCCTCCCCTGGCGCATCCTGCTCCCCCGTGGGTCCCCAGGAGGGGGCCGACCCTAGGACCCTTCTACCCAGGCACTTGGGCAACATCTGTTGAGTAAGACGAAAACAAGGGGTTGAAGATTAAGCCACTCTGCCCTGGCGGCCTGGGCACAGGCTGGAAAATGTGTTTGGCCAGCAGGGCCCGGAGCTGGGCTGAAATTGCGGGTCCAGAAATGAGGGGCGCTAATCCTGGGGGGGTCGGATTGAAACAAGACCAGAGAGAAGGCCAAGGAGAGCTGGGGTCACAGGGAGCCAGGGAGAAAACAGGACAGACAAACAGATGGACAGACGCACCCTGTGAGGGGGCAGGGAGGCCGCAGAGCAGCCCTGCTGAGACCGGAGGGCAGGCAGAGAATGGAAAAGGAAGGAAAAATACAAACCCGCCCTTTCCTGCCTCTTGTGAACCTGTTCAAAGCACTTGGCCGTGAGGAAACAGGTGCTGAGTGCTCAGAGGCCACTTTCCCCTGGTTTCCCCTGGGCCACTTTCCCACTCTGGGGACAGCAACAAAGCGTCAGCTAAGGACAGCTGCCCCGAGGTGGGTCCCACGGGCAGAACTCCACAGTCCCTGATGGCAGGCAGCAGGGTCACCAGGAGCCACAGTGCCCAGCTCCTGGTGTGGCAGACCTAACCTGTGCCAGGCATCAGGCTGGGTGCCAGCCTTCCCATAAACATGAGTAGAGAACCTACTGTGTGCAAGAAAGCAGGGGCACAGCAACCAACCAACAAAAGACTGACCTCTGGAGTGGGCAGAGCCCCTTAGAAAGATAAAGAGTAAAGTACTACGTGGTGAATCAGAAGATGATTTGTCTAGGGGGCAACCAAAGCAGGGAAGAAAGACGAGGCTGACTTTCAAGGGAGAACCCGGGGTGGGGGATGAAGAGCCCTGCAGGTATGTGCAGGAAGAGCATTCCAAACAGAGGGAACAGCAAGTGCCAAGGCCCTGAGGCAGAATCGGGCCTGGTAGGTTCAAGGATCAGCAGAAAGGCCGGGTGGCTGCAAAGGGAGGGAGGGAGACACTGCTAAAAGAAGATGAGGGAAGAGGGACCTGTCACGTAGGGCTGGACAGGCCAAGTGGGTTACTTTGCTCATTTTATTCTTTTGACAGCTTTACCCAGTGGGTACTATAGTAACCCCCATTCTAAAGAAGGAAACCTGAGAATCAGAGAGGCTGAGCTTTCGGTTCGGGGTCACACACCTGAATTTAGGGAATGGGGGAGAAGCACCTGGGACCGGGGGGGAGCAGGGAGCAGGATCCAGAAAGAGGAAATGGAATTCCCTGGCTCTGAACCACTGATGGGGAGTTGGGTTCTGACCCAGGCGCGGAGGCCGAGGAGCAGGGTGACGCCACCGCTCTACCGCTGGGTGGCCGATCCAGCCTCCCGGGGGTCAGAGGCCCCCCCCACAGGTGGAGCCCACCCCAGAGACACGAGGACTCCCCGGGCCTCCCTCGGGCAGGCCAGCTCCCTCCCCTCCGGAGCCTCGCCTCAGCGGGAATGCCAACCTATTCCCCTTTGTCCTGACCCCTGACCTTGCCTCCCATAAACAAAACTCACGAGACTCCCAGTGGCCACACAGCTGGCTTCGCCTGGTGGTCCTAACCGTGGACCCTACCCTCCCCAACCTGCCAAGGACCTTGTGTTCTGGGCCACAAGATGGAGGTTCAGCAGGAATGAGGAGAGACACGTGTTCCTGCCTCCCCACCCACCCCCCTGAGGCTCCCACGGGTGGCCGGTGGCCGTCTGTGATCCCTGAGAGGCTGGTCTCTGGTAGTTCCAGGCCAGGCTGCTCTGGCCCACCCCCGGCAGCACCCGGCCCCCCAGCCCTGCTGTTGCCAGATGACCTCGGCCAGGCTCCGTGCGACCAACACCTCCCATCTGGAGCAGAAGGCCAGGCGGCGGAGGCCCAGGGGGGTCTGACCCTAGAGAGCCGGACGAAGGACCTGCAGGGAAGGAAAACAGGGCCTGGGCCAGGCAGAGAAGAGCGACACTGCCCTGGACCACCAGGGAACAGGGAGGCAGGGGACGCGTCTGCACACTGAGAAGGCCGTGGGAGGGTCCAGTCCCCCGTTCTCTGGGGCAGAAAGGAAAACTAAGGTCCAAACAGAAAGGGGGGGGACCAGCCCACCTTCACATAGCGAGTGGATGTGGGTGCAAAAGGAGATCACGTGGCCTGACTGTGTGCCCGGTGTCAGGGCTGAGCAAGTGGCCACGTTGGTAGGCGGGATAGCTACAGCTGCCAGGGACACCCCAACATCAGCATCACCAGAGACACCCCACAGCAGCCCGTCAGATGTGTACCCATGGTGCCCCCCAGGACACAGGCACACGTGGGGACCCCTTCCCCTGCACTCCAGGGGGACCTGTGAGGCCTAAGAGGGGCGGGGAGGAAGCGCTGCCCACAACCCCAGTGGGTCCAGCTGGGACCCGTCGAGAGCCAGGCCCTGTGCACAGCCCGCAGCTCACGGGGCCTGCCCCTGTCCAGCCTGTTCTGGAAACCTGACGGGGGAGGAGGTGGGGAAATGTCAGGAGGGCAGAAAAGTGGAGTCGAGCCAAGGAGTTCAGGGGAGGGACAGAGGTCACCTGGATGTGGAAACTGGCTGGAGCGTTTCATCCATCCCCCTGCCTCTCGTGAAGGGCACTTGACCCGGGACAGGCAGACTGAAGAGGATGCCATGGCACCCCCTGGTCCTCGAAGCTCTGGGACAACAGGCTCCTGGCCAGGCCGGAGACGGACAAGATGCCCTTTTATGGGTTTTTCCAAGGACTTGAAGTCTCGAGATTGGACATAGCAGGCCCTGCATCTCATCAGAGGAGACCTCATGACTCACTTCCTCCCCGTCCAGCCTCAGCCCAGGGACGCTGACCCCTCTCCTCCCACCACTGCCCGGCACTCGGGCTGCAGCGCACTTGGGGCCAACACAAGCTGCAGGGGGGGCCGGCAGGGGAAGGCACGGCTGTCACTCACCACCAGCTCATGGTTGGACGGAGGAATGCAGGGGGCAGCCACCTGTGGGAGGAGCAGAGAAACGGCAGGTTAGCGTCTGTCATGGGCACAGACCCCGCGCCTCCTGAGGTCACTCCACGCGCCACCTCCATGTGAGACACCCCGCGCCTACAGGCACACACTGATCCCTCCCTGGGGGAGGGCACCTCAAAAGGCGACCAGAACCCAGAGAGATGCTTAGGCAGTGGCACCTGGGGAGGAGGAGGGGACGCAGATGGCAAGCCCGATGGAACGCATGTCACCATTACAATGACGCCCAAAATACCAGACCCGGGAGGCTGGAGGCCAACATGCCAGCATTGTAACAACAGAGGCTCATGGGATTTGGACGACGGTTGGTTTTCCTTTGCACTCGTCGATTTGTCTGCGGCGGGTAAAATGTCGAAAAGCCCCGAGAAGACCTCCAGAGAAGGAAGAGTCACCCCCTTGGATTCTCCCAGTGCCAGAGCATCTCACCCAAAGTGAGAACCGCAGGACCTTGACTCTGGCCAAGTTTCCCAGAGTGCGGGAAGCGCGCTGGCCAGGGGACTGCAGGCTCTTACAGAGGCCACGGGTATCTTCATCAACTTCATCTCCTCCCGTCCCCTCTGATCCGGAGAAGGACATGGCAGCCGGGCCCCCAGATGTGGAGGAACCGGAGGGTGGCGAGGGGCAGGCTGGCTCCGCTCCAGGGCTCTCTCCCTTCTGGCCCCTCGCCAGGCCAGGCCGCCAAGCCAGCACCCTGACACTTGTGTGGGAATTTATCAGAGACCGCCTGTGCCCCTCCTTTCTAGCTGGACACATTTTTCTTGGAACTCAGAGCTCCACCTTGGCTCCAGTTCCCGACCCCAGCACCAGGCAAGGGGCCCACACAGGGGACAGAAGGGCGCTGTCCCTCAGGCATAAGCGTGTCTGGACACGAGCCCTGAGTGGCCAAAGAGAGGGCAGCCCCTCCTGGCCACCACCCGTGCTGCCTGACGTGAGGTCCCCACTGCCACTGGCTGCGCAGTGGCCACCAGGCTGGCCCCCTCCACGTGACCCGTGTTGCCAGCCCACAAGGCTCTCCAGACTTCACACACCAGCCCCGACGAGGACGCCCTGGGTGACTGTGTTCAAGCTCTGTGGGGATGGAGGAAGCCAGAGTGAGCGTCCCCGGGTTCTTGGGCCAGTCACGTGACAGCCAGCTCACTCTCCAGCAGAAGGGCCCCAGCTGAGTCTTGATGTTTGATTCTTTCACCAACAGTACTCCAGCACAGAACCAGATGCCCCCGCCACACACACACACACACACACACACACACACACACACACACAAGAATAATATCAATACTCCCTGAATATGTCCCAGTGACAGGCTTTAATATAAATGCTTTACTCATTGAATTCTTTCAGTAACTCAGTAGATACTGTCATATCCCCAGTGAAGGATGTGAATGGGGCACAGAAAGGTTAAACAACCTGCCCAACGCCACACAGCTGAAAAGTGGTTGGGATTTAAGCCGAGGCAGGCTGACTCCCAGGACGAGATGTGAAGTGGGCCTTATCAATCAGGGCCCCACTTCCAGGAGAATGAGGAGAGATGGAGACGCTGTTCCCAGAAGTCAGGGCTCTCAGTACACCCAAGCAGGAACCGTGAGTGACATTTCAGAGGAGGTCCCTAAGGGAACTAGGCCTGGGGATGGGGTGGAGGGAGACAAGGAGGGAAGAGAAGGTCCCCGGGGCTGCCTATGGCCTACAGGACCCCCTGCCTGCCCTGCCCACCAGACACGGTCTCAGCCGCAGGGGACACTGCTGTCCTTGCTAGGCACAGCCCCAACCCCCACTGTGATGGGGGACGGGAGGTTTGAGTCATGGGTCCGACCCCAGGGTCTTCTTCCCAGACTCATTCTGTCACGAAGGTTCTCAGGTCCTGGGGGAGCAGGCACCACACACAGGACGGGGCCTTGCTGTGCTGTCTGGGAGCTGGGCGGGGCTGCTGGGACCCTGCCTGCAGGACCAAGGGCAGCAAAAGGGCCTGGTCCCTTCCCCACAGGAGGGAGGCCAGGCCTCCATCCCGAGACGAGGCCCTGGGGAAGCAGGGTGGGGCGAGGGTGCCTCCGGAGGTGGGGGCAGTCTCAGACAAGCAGGAGGGTCTTGTTCCCAAACCCACTCTAAGGCCATGGGAAGAGCTGGCCCAGGTGTCCTGACCCAGCCCCTTTCTGGTCCCAAGGCAAAGACATCCTCTAAGAACCTGGGTCCAAGGGCAAGAGGTGAGCGTCACCCCAGCCGAGGGCCTGACACCGCCCCCCACCGCCCCCCAGCCCCCAGGCCGGCCAGCCCTGGCTTGGTGGTGTCCTTGAGTGTGGCTTGTCTCTCTCTCTCTCTCCTCCTAAAGCAGAGAAATGTTTCCTTAAAAGGCTCTCTCCTTCCCTCCAGTGCCTGGCCCCTGGCCACCCTCTCAGGAGCCTGGACCTTGCCAGGGAGCACCAGGGTCCTGCCACTCCGCAGCCACCACACACCTGGTATCACAGTGGATACTGCTGACCCTTGGAGGCCCTGGCTAAGAAGCCCCTCCTCCGTGGCAGCCCCCAGGGGGCTCTTGGGGCCAGCCGTGCCATCTGTTTGCCTCCAGGGCTGGCAGCTCAGGACTCCAGGTTTGGACCCATGCTGTCCTCCCCCCTCAGCAAGCCTCAGTCTCCCTGTCTGCAAAACGGGGGTGATTATGGGGCTCGGAGTTGCTGTGAGAATTAAAGGAATTAATCTGCTCCTGTGCTAAGAAGGCTGGCTGTGGGCAGCCAGCAAGACGGGCGCATCTGCCCTGCTCTGATTTTACTCTCTTCTGTCACTCAGAGTGGAAGGAGGGACCTAAGACCAGCTCGGTCCCCCGTCTGGTGATAAATATGTTGGCCAACAGAGGGCGGGATGCAAGCCCAGCTGTCGGGCTCCAAGACGCACGGAGTCTCTTAACACCGCTCACGATGCCCTGTGTCTGTCCCCAGCCCTCTGCTCTGACTCACGGATGCTGTCATCCCTGTCTCACAGATGGAGAAACGAGAGGGCACAGGAGGCTGATGATCTGCCCAGCACGGCCCCTGTCACCTCAACGCTCTACGAGCAGTAGGAACTGGGCCCCAAGAGGACCTGAGTTCTCAGCCTTGGTCACATTAGAATCCCACGCTCCTGCCTGGCACCTGTGATTCCATCCAGTGGGGAGGATCGCAAGTTCAAGGCCAGACCCAGCAACTTGGTGAAACCCTGTCTCAAAATAAAATAAAAAAAAAATAGAAAGCTGGGGATGTAGCTCAGCAGTAGGAAAAAAATAAATAAGAATCCCAGACTCCTGAACTCACCCAGCCTCCAGAGAGGTCCTCACACCACACCCACCCAATCCATGGGCTGGACAGGACAGCCTGGCCTCCACACCAGACTCTGTCAACCCTACACGAGCCACGGTGGAAAAGTCATCGTCTTTCCTCTCTCCTGCTGGTCCCCTTTTTTTAATTTTATTTTAATTGTGGCAAAATGTGCATGATGTAAAAGTTAGCGGTTTGACCGTTTTTAAGGGCCCAATTCAGAGACATTAAATACATTCACAATGGTCTACACCCCGGCCCCATCCACACACCCGTCAGACGGTAATTCCCCGTGTCCCCCCACCCCCCAGGGCAGTGAGCCCTGACCTCCTCTGTCCCTGCGAATTGGCTCTTCTATCAACTCCTTCCCCGAGGCCCGCCAAAGAATCCAGATTCCTCTTCCCCACGTGGGTCACAGAAACTCTAACCCTCCCGACTCTCTGCCTTAGAACTGGCCACAGAGAAGTTCCCTGACCCACCTTGTCAGACAGGAGGTCATGAGGACCCTCCTCATTCCAGAGGGCTCCTGCCCCACACCCTGGAGGCAGGGAGGCTGCAGGAGAGGCCAAGACAGGTCTCCCTGGGTCCCCACCCAATCACTGAGCCCCAAAGGACAGGGTTCCAAGGCTTCCGGATAGCGGGGTGATCCTGGAGGGTGCATGCCCCGCCCCCACAGGCCTCTTCATCTCCTTCATCATGAACCACTGACCCTCCACGTTTCCCGCGTCCTGCGGGCACGGAGCAAATAGATCCAACAGGACGTGGAACCCAATGTGCAGTCGGTCAGTCGGAAGCACAGAGAGACCACCTGGGGCCGGCGACCAGCCTCTCCAGGAAGGGAGACAGAGTCCCCAGCCTGTGGCATCGGACACCGTCTCCAGGTAGATGATGTAGAACTGGATTATCCTGAGGTCCCCCAGCAGGTGTGCCCTGCAGAATCCACTTGTCGCTTGCCGACCTCTCAAGGTCATAGAAGTCTTCCGTGCTGGCCGTGGTCACAGGAGAGGAGTCACACAGCACTTGCCTTCTCTGTGCCAGGCTTATTTTCACTTAGTCCCCCCAAATTTGTATGTTGACACCTAACCTCCAGCACCTCAGAATGTCACTGTACTTGGTGACGGGGGCTTTAAGAGGTCATGAAGGTGAGCCCTAACCCAACGTGATCAGTGTCCTTACAGATCAGCACACGGGTGCAGAGGGAAGACGTGAGACGCAGACAGGAGACGGCATCTCGGGACAGGCCTCGGGAGACACCGACCCCGGACTCCCCGAGCTCAGATCTGCAGCCTCCAAAACTGTGGGAAAACCATTTCTGTCATCTAAGCCCCTCGGTGTGTGTTGTGAGGGGGCAGCGGCAGCGGGCTGAGACGCATCTGAACTGCCTCCCCCTGAGTGGACAGAAGCCACCGCCTGGCCCGGCCACGCTGCACCACGTTGACCCGCTCAGCCATCGATGGACAGGATGACCCACACCCCTGCCCCAGGGACTCCAGGAACCCACTTCAAATGACACCAAAGGGGAAAGAAAGGAAAGGGGTCTGCAGAGCCTCTGCTGTGAGTCACGGAAGCTGGATGTCCCATATAGATCATTTTATTTAATCTTGTGGAAAAGTTTTTTGAAGTAAATAAAACAGACTCAGAGAAGTGAAGCAACTTGCCCAAAGTCAAACAGCTAGGACTCGCAGTCGTCAG